CGATTGTCCGCTACTCTGCTGATGGGCCCGACGTATGTGCTTGTTGTGTGTTGACACGTGATGTGATGTGAACCAGTTGTTCTCCCGCGTTCATTGAGCTACTTACTCGTACTCGTTCCTTCCGCGAGCGCACGTGAGTGCGCAGAAGAAGCCGTGGCGCCAGCGCAGCAGCGTTGATGCTGTCATCGACGAAAAACGCTTGATGCCATCCGCCTGACGTTCGGACACGTACAAATGTCATTTAATTAATTAATCAAATTACTCAAAAATGTCAGTTGGGTAAAAAAATTTACGAGAATCGTAGGTGTTCCACGCTGAGTGCTTCGAAGTTTCATCAAGTCTGTTGAAGTGAAGTGAAGTGAAGTTGAATGAAGTGCTGCTTGAAGCGCTCAGGCATATGAGACAATGGCATAAAATATGAACTCGCTGAGTTGGAGTTCATTTTTGTCGCCTCTTTTGTTTTCTCTTTTCTCTTGATATTCTGGTCTACCCACTATTTGTTGTAAAGTATTATTGTCCACATGTTTTATATATTTTTGATATGTACTTCGCACAATGTAGTACTCACGTGTTAGTAAATATATTACTTGTTATTGTTAAGGGATATGTCACATAATAAGTTGTCTAACGTCAACCGATAGCCCGGCTTAATTGTCGCCATAGAATCGCCCGAAGTGCTAAGCGTTTTTTATTTCTTGCCATTCCAAACTGCATTGTTCGTCTACTACAAGCGCTCAGGCTAATGAAAGTAAGACGTGATTAAATTTTTAACCGACTTGAATGTGTAGGCAATTTGCGAAATAACCTGCATACCTTTTACGAGATATTGGCCTGGTATCGACGTTTGACTGACGTGAGTACGCTCGTGATTCTCAGCATATATATATATATTACGGAACGAAAAAAAAAATTTTTTTTTGCTTAGCCTATGGGTAAAATTTGTGTTGTATTCAGAAAAATAGAAAATTTTTGTAAAGTAAATTTCGAGTCAACATTTTTTTTTGTTTAAATTATTCACGTTTAAATAAAAATTACCGAATTTTTCGGTTTTTGGCTCAAAATTTATTTTAACGCTTAAGGATTTATTTTAACGTGTTGTCGTTTAAGACTTTTTTAAACTCCAATAATGACAACAAAATTTTTTTAAGTTGATAACTTTTAATCGGCTATAAAGAAGACTCTCGACAGCTTCTAGAACATTTTTTTAAAATATTTTTACGAAATAAAAATTTTAACTCGAAATTTTCTTTAAAAGTGAGTGGGTCTCTAGATGTTAAAAAAACATTTTTTTTTCCAAAAATTTTCTTTTTTTATAATCCACAAATTTTACCCCAGGCTAAGCAAAAAAAAATTTTATACACCCTAATATATATTATATATACATCTACCCCTCAGAGAGTTATATAGATTTTGCCTCGAGTATTTTTCTAGAAACCGCGCGACGAATATTTGTTCTGGCTTGTCTCAGGCATCCATAAAAGGCTGCTACCAGTAAGCAATCGTTTGTACCCATACTTGTATATGTATGTGAACATTTGTCTGACCCTGTGTTTGCGTCTGTTTAACTTTTGCTATTTCCTGGCACGGCTCAAACTTAGCGAGCTTTAATTAATTAGGTCAGTGTCCAATTATTCGTTTATTCGACTTTCGTTCGGCCTCACTTTCTTTCCATTGACCACGACAGCCTTATGTGGTGCGCTAACTACGCTTGATGATTACACATAAATCACGTTCGCTAGTTCAACATTTTTTACTGTTACTGCCATACGTTTTTTTTTCTATAGCTCTTTAAGCTATGATAGTGCTCAGTTGCTTTTGAAAGGAAAAGGGAATTATTGTAACAATTAAAATTAATTAAGCTTCACTACTAGACAGACCACCAGAATTAGCCCAACAACCCACGCGCGTTCTTAGATTTTTCCACAGAGCACGTTATGTGGTAGATGTTGTGCGTAACGTTGCTGCGTGAGAAAATTTCATGAGGATCTCATGGTAATTAAAGAGTTAATGTGCATAATAAAAAACTTTCATACACAACGGTTATGATATTTTTTCATACGATTGTACAGAAATGTATGGATGTAGATGTTCGTTCGAGGTACCAAAGTGTTTACAAATTCTGTTCTATAACTAAGCTTTACGCATTCATCCTCAAACTGCGCATTGCCATGGGCACATGCTGCATATCAAATATAAAATCAAGCGTATCGTTGCGGTTATCTGTTTGGTATTTCATGCCGCAACATAAGAAATGTAACAGATTCACTTTTGCTGGCATATATTTTGCAGCAATGCCAAGAGAAAAGCAAAAAGTCTCCTACTTGTATGTTTTCCAAAATTTTTATTCAGCAGCGTTCAGTAGCAAATAAATTATTCGTCTATCATATGTATGTATGTATGTATGTATGCATTACTCATGCGGTTGCTAAAACAACTGCTTGTGTTTGGAATCGCCATTGATGTGCTTAAAATAGCTGCAATAAAGTGTGAAGCGCACAAACAATATTCTGCAAAAATTTCAAGAAAAAAGTAAAAATTCGCCTTGTGTTGAGGTGAAACTAAAAATGGCACAAATGAAGATATCTGAGCAATGCCAGATGGAAATGTGAACCATGGCCAATAAAGTGATATAGCTTAATCATCTCATAAACATTTCAGGCGCCGAATCATTCAATTTAGCATACTTAGTTTGGTTCTCGAACGAGACAGACACTGAAAATACGACGTATTTTGTTTTTTGGAGATTTTTGAATTTTTTTGATTTTCTAATTGTTCGACCAACATCACAAGGAAAACCTCCTACACACTAATACACACACTCGTTTTATTGCATATAACGGCTAACTCCATTCGAGTAATTTTATTGTTACAAGTAAAAAAGTCCGAACGGCGCACGTGACTGCTGTGCACCTTACTTTCGAGCGCACGGTGTTTCACTCACGAGGTCAGCCACCTCAATTGCGAAAATTGATTGTTTATTGCTCAACGATTGCATGGGCTTTCATAGTTATTAATTTTTATTTTCTCTCTATTACTTTATCATCGCCAAATTTGCATTTCACACAATTGAGAAAAACCTGACTGACTGACGGTGCAACCAACTAAATTATAAATTCTTAGCGCGTGCGAGTGTCGTACGATTGAGTATCGGTAAGTGCTTCGCACATATGTATGTGCGCAAACACATATGTTCAAATGGCGGTGCAAGAGTGTTACTGCGGCAAGTGTTGTTGTGTACTTATGACTCACGTAGTTGGAAATATACTTGCTAACGTTAGCCCACTTAAAAGTGCTTAAGCAACGGCATGTGGCATGCCACAAGGGCGTAGTTGTAATTTGACATTTATATGTATACTCGTACTTCATATGAGCATTTTCCCTACCTACATGTCATTCTATCGGCTCTGCTCACCCTCGTTCTCTCTTTGCCACTCTAACATTTAGAATTTTTGGCACGTCGCAAATTTTACAGCCGCAAAGCTAACAAAAAAAGAAACACAGTTAACAGCATCCACGATCATGCCGAACACTTACAGTGCGCTCTGAGGTACTGACTCTTGTGACGCTGTAATGAGGAAAACACCAAAAGCCAAACATCGAAAAGTATCTGCCACTGCTTTCAACATCGGTTTTTGGCTCTTTCTTGTGCACAACAAAGAATTTTCGTGGTCATTTGTGGCAAGTAATGACTCTGACTTTCGGAAAAAAAATTACATGCAATGTACTGTTTTTTTTTTCGCGCAAGCAGGTTTTAGCTGAGTCAGCTTAAGTGTGCAAGAATGTGAGTGTAGTTGTTAGATTTTTTTCAAAAAGCGCTGTATTTTATATCGACTTTTTCATAGCTCCCCAAGTATTATGATCAAATTTGATTCGGACGGAAATCTATGTTATCTCTTTTAAAATAATCTTCTATCTCTAATAATATAAACAGCCAACGATTAATCCAATTTTATACTTACTCATAAGGCTCGTTTAGGATGGCCTGCAGGTAATTTTTATATACCCAAACCATGAACCAAAATATGTTGAGTCGATCCATAAGAAATTTTGATATTTTCTACAATCTCTCTGTTGCCAACATGACGATTTCCAAGCACTATTTCTTTAACTTTTCGTTGTCATTAACAGAGGTGGATGGACGAGTCGCATAAGACAAGTTTTCGATGACTTCTTGACCTTCACTGAATGCTTTTTACAACTCAAATACTTGTGTCTGCTATAAAGTAGGCTCCCTAAGACACTTTTGGATACATTTCCATTGAATTCGTAGCTGGTTGAACTTTTAACCATACAGTTGGATATTATATCCCATTTCTTATTATTACGTACTATGTACATATATACATATGTAGAACAACCTTTAGTAATATAATATTGCTACGAAAAAAAAAATTTAGACAACGGCTTAGAAATGTTGTAATTCGATTCCAGCCGTAGTCGCTCGGTTCTGCACATACTTATTCGTACAAATTTTTTGCAGGAGCAGCCATAAAAATACCCCTTGGATAATACTAATTATGAACGTACATATTATATTATATTATTTTGAAGCCAAATGTATATTTGCTGAAAAAAGGCGGAAAACAAGAGCACATAACCATTCAAATAACAACAATGATCACTTCAATTTGAAGTTCACGGTTAAATGAGTCAGCAACTACGGAACATGTGTAGGCACTTTTACACTCTAACCCCCGAACGTTAACTAGAAATTCATTTAATCTGCCATTCTTCCGCAATCAAGCACTCAAACCCTTTTTGGTGCGCGAGCTCAAATAAGCGCTTTTTGTGGAACCGAGCTTGGTTTAGCTTTGCGCTCAACAACAACAATGTGCAATTGAAAAACTTTCCACTTTCAATGCAACAAAAACAACGGCAATACGAGTATTATAAATGCCGACTTCAAGTTATTGCAATTGTCCTATATCAACAACGGTTCTACTGTACCGTACATACATACATATGTATGTATACAAACAAACCGACAAAACAACGAAATTTCGTAAAAGTTCCTTTTGTTTACATTTCCACTTAAAATCATTCAAGTACACTTCCGTACGTCGGTATTTTGTTGGTGTATGTTGCTCCGTTGTTTGGTAGGTCTGAGGGTCATCAGACATTTTCACTTAGACACTGTATTTGGCACGCGCAGTGTATGCTTTGTAAATCTTTATGCTCTAGGTTTTTAATGGCCTGGAGTTAATGGCTAAAGTTATGTCAAAGTTCACAACCCAAAGCCGAAAACTATTCTATATGTTTGATTTCTTTTCGAATAAGACTTTTGACTTGATCATGCCAAGTGTTCCTTTCTCCTTTGCTGAGTTGAAGAAAGCTGTTGAATTTACATACATACATACAAGTATGTCATGTTGAATGTATGATTCAGGGCTGAACAAGTTTATATTCGAACTTCCTTAATAGATTGTTGTGCCAAATAGGATTTCATTGTGCAATGCAAAGTAAGCCTTGTAATTATGTTTTTCAATTAAAATCGACGAAGAATAAATCCGGATTCTAACACATTTTGAATTCTGTTCGAAAAAAAACGTAGCACGGGGAATCTGGTTCACATTCTTATGCAACTCGTAGACCTTTCCATTTGTAAAGCGAGAGCTAAAAGTTTCCGCCAAACTGATTAATTATTATTATTGCTATTTTAATTTATATTATTCTACATATTTTTAAAAAATTCTGAACTCTAAAACTATATAATATCACATTAAGAAGAACTAAGTCATGTTGGCTTTAAATACACAAAATGATGCAATATCTTGCCAAAACTTTCCATACTTATAATGCATATATACAAACATACTTCTACAGTTATGATGTGATAAGCTGATAACACTAACATACTGTAGTCAAATTTTGTGTATTTATGCCCCTTTTGACTTGCTATTTTTGGAAAAGAAATATACAGCAAACTCTACTATTAGTCTTCGACTACGTTCATGGACTTTCCTTTTGTCTCTGGCACAATTATTGCTATATACAGCAGACCGAAAGCAGAGAATGCCGCAAAAGCCCAAATTGTCGTTGCTAAACCAAAAGCTTCCATACATGGTGGGAACACTTTCAGCATGATAAAGGCAAAGATGCTCAATAATGCCATACAAAACGAAACACCCTTTGCACGAATCTGCAGAATTAGAAAATGCATATAAATACGTGTGGATTTTGAAAGCATTCAGTGGATTATTACCTTTGTCGGCAAAATCTCGACAATGAGAACTGCAGGCACTGGTATAAGTCCCACATTCGCTGTGAGTATAATCAACGCCATGAGTACGAGTGGCAACCACGAGCTATATGGTGTTAGATCCACATTTGTACCTTCAACGAAGAATGCGTACGTACCGAAAGCTGTCAAGAAAATGCACGTGGAAGCTGTGGAAATCAGGAGTAATACTTTGCGTCCAAAACGGTCGACCAAAATCATGGCAATATAGGCGCCTAGAATTTGAACCACACCAATGATGACTGTGTTCGTGTCAGGATGAATATCGGTTTTAACAGCCACAAAAACGGTGGTCATATAGCTGAGCAATGCGAAGCTGCCAGTCGCAATGTTAATGAGAGCGACTGTATTGGCGATAGAAAAGGCGTGTAGAGAGCGCTTCGTGACTAAAAAGAAAAATAAAAGTCTGCATAACTAAATTGTCTCAAAATTAAAGCTTGTATATATGGTATATATATATATATATAGACTTACAGAAGTCGCGCAGTGTGACCGCATCCGATTGTGCTCTCTGTTGTTTCACGGCGCTTTTCAATTCCGCATATTTAATATTGAATTGTTCAGTCTCCAGTTTAGTTAAAGCTTTGTAATTCAAGTAAAATTTCAACGATTTCTCAGCTTCCTCCTCCTTTCCACAATGCAACAGATACGAGGGCGTTTCGGGAAAGTAGATTGCGATTAGCAGATAGAGTACAGGCAGCAATATCACCGCCATCGGTATAATGTGATAGGGTACATATGAAGAGAGAATGTAGCCAAACAACATGCCCCCGTTGAGGGATAGTGTAAATAGTGAGGTAAGACGACCGCGTATACTGTATTATGAACAAAATAACTAGGAAATATGGAAAAAGTATTGCTGCAACTCACGTTGGATCTGCGATTTCCCCGATGTAAATCGGTATTACAACCCAGGTGCCACCACCAGTCAAACCGGAAGCAAAACGTGCAGCATACAGGTATTCAATGGATGGCGCCACATAGACTAAAAGCCAAAAGCACTACAAAATAAATAATTTAAATGAAGATTGTCTCGAAGATGTGTCTCGCTGTGCCTATATTGATCTCTTACCATATGCGGTATTGCGAGAAGGTAAATGCAGCATTTACGACCGGTGTGAACCGCCAGCACACCAAAGATTAAATTTCCAGTGAGGCCACCAAGGCAAATCAGTGCACCAATCCACGAACCTTGCTCCACCGTAGCGACAAAGTCAAGCGGACTTTCGGTGGGCGATTGCAATTTAGCCAGCATGGGCGCGAACCAGCCAATGCCAATGCCATTGCAAAAGGTTATGATGGTTACTAAACGCGTAAAAAAATTATGTTTTCATGTAATTTTAGCTACGTGGTACCCGCTTTGTTAGTGGAAGTCACCGTTTTTTCCACTTCCGAACTTACCACTTACTGCCGCCAATAATTGCATGCGATAGGCGCTGTTGAAAACGCCCTCTGATTTGTTGCACAAGTTGAACAACATTTTATTAGTATCCTTATATAACTTATGTTTCAAGAAATATAAAGTGAGTCCCGGCAGACACTTTTAACACTCACAATATTCACAAAACCAGTATAAATTGTACTTGATTTCTGTATCCTTTTCACTCAGGATCACAATCCGCGACGCACTTAACTTTTGTGTAGCTCTTTCACTTTTATATACATTACGTTTTCGCACTCTATCACTGGCGGCGACGAACTCCAACGGCTAACAACGAAATTATCAAAAAATCTTACACCTTTATATTCGACAAATGCCTTCTACGCATTTGGGATGCCATCTTAATTTTATCTTAAACACATATCGCATTTCATCATAAAGCCGGAGAAAAGTTAAATATACGGTCGCTTTTTAGTGGACAGATGTGGATTTGCATCTAAATATGACACCAAGTAACTACAAGTAAATAATATTTGGTTTGTGACGTAGCCTTTTGTTTGGTGCAAACAAGTGCAAATAAAACTTGTTGCTTGTTGTAAAAATGTCACATATGTTGAAGTCATGATTTCATGTTTGAATAGCAAACAAAAGAACAGAAGTGAAATACCAAAACAAATAGAAATTATCACAGTAGCAGCGAGCGATTTGATGAGCGGCACTGCAGTATACATCATTGCCAAAGAATAGACTAAGTAGCGACTTGACAACACTGGTAAAGTATTGTATAACTGTTTTAATATAGTATGTTATATGAAATTAAGTAAAACCGAGCCACAGAGCCAGTTTTAACCAGTGATGATACAGCTCTGGAAATATAAATTCAAATATTCAAAAACATTGCTCAAACGTAGACAGAAAGTGTACGCGCATAACATACTTGTTAGCAATATAAGAGAACTAGCATTTATTTGCGTACAATTTTGGCAATTTCTAAAACGGTAAAATTGTGACATAACCCTTTACTATTTTTAGAACAAATGAGATTTACTACTATTGTGTTGTAGCTTTGTTGGGAAGCGCTTTTATGGCACATAGCAGTGATAGTTATCTGGCTTACCATTGGTGGATTCCGCACTCACATATTAGTTGTTTTCCAGTCGTCATGGGTTGGAGACTAGCTAAGCGAACAAACTACACCAGTTGTTTAAACAACCGCCGAAATGCTTATTTCCGTTTAAAGGAACCTTTTGGTAACCCCTTGATATCGAGTAGCGTATGGACGCTATTTTCTATTAAGAACTATATATTGGTTTAGCGCTCTTTTATTTCAACCTGGGGATTCCCCGAAATTGTGATCGAATAGATTAATCAATAAGAGCATTTTGGAAAAACAACAATAACATGAATGCTGTGGAAAACATAAACCTTTCTGGGAATAAGAAAACAGAAAGATCTTCGAAAGGATTATGGAAGAACATTTGGCCGGATGTAAGTAAGGTTGAAAATACTTTGGATATGGATGAAATGGTGGAAGAAATATGTTAAATTAATATATAAACAAAAATGTATGACGTTCCTATTATAATTTCTGTTATAAATCAGATCGATTTAGCCGTAGTAGGCAGTAAGTAGTTAATCTTATTATGAAACTAGTTGATACATTTAGAAAAAATATAGTATCATAATAAAAAGATAAAAAGGAAAAACGTAAACATCGGCTGCACCAAAACTATAATACTCTTCACCTGTACAGGGGCCTTCTATTAGCACAAAAGGGTTTAAAAAGACTTTTTATCTTGATTTTGATCGATCAGTTTGTATGACAAACAATATGTTGGGAAATTGTAGCGTTGTCTTGGACGATAATCTATGCCGCATTTCTTGAAGATAAATTGTTATTTAAAATTTTTTTCTGTACCAGAACTTAATTTTATCGGTCAATATGTATGGCAACTACATGCTATAGTGATCCCACAGTTAAGCAGCTTCTTTGGGAGAATGGAAGGTGTGCAATATTTCAGATCGAAATCTTAAGAACTGAGCGACTAGTTCGTGTCGATACAGACAGACCGACATGGATAAATCGACACATCGCTGCACCCTGATCATTTATATAAATACTTTATTGGGTCTCCGATTTTTCTTAAAGGTGTTACAGACTCCGTGACAAACTTAATATACCCTGTTCAGGGTATAAAAAATGGCGAGAACAAAAATGGAAGTTTCTTTCAAGAATAAGCTTGTATCCACACATTAGCTAATTAAATGAAGCAGTATGAGCAAATTTAACCTATTTCAGTGTTTCTACACTGAAATGAGATTCACTTTCACATCTTATTTAAATATCGATATTTTTTGCGACATTTTTCTTTCAATAAAATTCCTTTCCTCGTACCCCTACATCTCATTTACATTGTGATCTCAATTCTTCTTTTCAATTTACTTTCGAATCAAAGCAACGTGGAGCAACTATTCAAATATTGCCACAAAAGGATCCTAAGCCATAAACTACACAAATTTGTGGCATGCCATAAAAGGGATAATATGGAACAATTCATTGCGCTTTGACAATCTACTGAATACTCTTTCAGCTGAACTCACACACACTATATAGAGACAATGGGTTTAAACTTTTTAATGCCAAACATTGAATTGGACTGTCCCTGCCACGTCTGCAATTGTGCAACATCATTTACCCCATACTTTTAAAAGATATTCAGCATTTGTTCGTAAATGTCTCATTGTCATGCAGAGCTTCGATGATATGGGGAGATAACTATGAACCCATGTATCCTTTCCGTAGCTTGTCCTTGCGGCTGGGTCACTCAATTCGTGCAATCAATTTGAGTAAAACTTATAACAAATCAACTCCCTAGTTGACAATAATTTAATTCGTAAAATTGTACAAATTACGGTCGTTCGCATATATGGATGTATACCTATATATTGTATGTATATGTTGATGTTCACTAAGGACGTGTTTTGTTTGCTGCTGTCCTTTCGCTTTGCCTACCTGAATGAGAAATCAGTTGTTAACATTTGCACATACACGCAGAACGATATCTAACAATGACGTTAAACAAAAACAAATAAGTATTTGTAAAGCTTTATTTGGCAGCTGTCAGCTATGCCTTTTGATATGAAAGCAGTTAAAAGTTGACAGGAAAGCGTCTGTGTACCGCAATTCGAACTCTGAATCTAAAAGTTCATGCGTTACAGCCGTACTTTTCATAGTAGTCAACATGGCTGTTAAGAGTTCTTTTAGTCTCACATGCCTTCTAAAATTTTACTTGCTGGGTTACTTGGCTTGGACAGCTTTTGCTCCTTCCGATGCCCTTTTTGGTACTGACTGGGGTTTTCTAAGTTTAAGTAGGGTCAATTCGATTCACATTAAATTCGTGTGCAATGGCAACCCTTTTTATGGTGATGCTTGCGCGTCCATAAAGTCAAAGCCCATGCAAACCTTTATATGTCAGGGAGTATTTGTACGAGGCATGCTGCTGACATGTACTCGCAAAGTTAATGATTTTTAACAAAATACTTGTAATTATATTGTAATTAAAGTGTAATGACAGGCAACTTTGGCCCAACCTTAGTTGTTCGTAAAAAATCGATTTATTTGCTGCTGATTAAGTCTAATTTGTAAAGAGCACATACACATTTTACTTGTGAAACTTATACAAATTAATAATGGCCGTCAATCAGTTATAGAAATGCTAGTCCCAACAACACAGCAAATCATGATGAACCAAAATCTATTTAGTCCTTTATCCACCTACTAGTTCGTTATGATGTTTCAACCATTCTTAACTGAACAATTTAAGCGAAATAATATTTTACTTCTATTTCACAAGAAATACTCTATCTGCCACAATTGTTGCGTCCTGCTTTAAACCCGAGCTAACCGATAAACTTGCTCGCATGAAATGATCTGCAAAATGAGAACTAATCGCTAAAATAAACAAAGAAGAATGCGTCGTTTGCAGTGCTTTACTGCTTTTGGCAACCGAATATTAAAATATACCAAGAGCACACACAACGTCATATAAAAAATGTCTTTCGCTCACCTTTCTACATTATTTTCTTTCAAGTTTATTTCACTAAGGGCACTCCGGGCTGGAGGTGAGAGCATAACGAGGAAGTAAAGTAAATTTATGGGCGCCTTGAACGAGTAAGACGAACGAACAGCGAAAAATAAAAATCTACATGTCCATGTAAGGATGTTTGTATGTTCCTATAAGCTACTGTATATGAAGAATTGCTTGGGCTGCTACTCCCGTGCCAGCACGCAACTGTCAGCGGAGCACCTTGTCTGCCACTTACACTCGCTTGTACAATGGAAGACTATGGCAACTTTGAGTTTTTGTGTGCGTGTCTTCGCAAGACTTGTCTGCAGCAAAGCGACCGCAGGATATGCTGCGATATGCCACATCGTCGAAGCCGCCATTTTCAGCGATGCTGTGGGACTCCTTCCACATTTCACATTGTTTTTCATTTACCCTGAAGTAAGCTCTGCAAGTAGTTATGCGAAAAAATGGCGCAATACCGGGGAATATACTCGGTTTCTTGCGCTAAACTGTTTACCTACAAGTAAATGCTGCAGCAATATCATGTGTTCATGTGTGCTTATTTTGGAATGAAATATATTTGCAATATCCGCAACCAACCACACACATATGCATTACGCCGAGGAGTCTGCTACACGCAATGGATGCTGTAGTCTGCTTTTATGCAACAAGCCCAAGCACACTATAAAAATGCGTTAATAATGAAAGCCAGCTTAAGGAGCGCGGAAAATGCTGTAAACATTTATATGCACGAATATGTGCTGGGTCTTAGCATATCAACATAGAAGAAAGGAAAAGGAAACACATTATATTGAAAACAAGAAAACCTTTTATGACAACAACGAAACGTGTGTTTAAGAGAATAGCACTGCAACACGACCTTTATTTTTTGGCATTCAAAGTCAATGCTGCAACTAAATTTTTTTACGGTTATGTTCACCATACGCTCGTAAACCTACATAAAAGCTTAAAAGCTATGTCCGGAACACAAATTATTGTTTTCATATTTAAGACTTTGGAAAATGTTATTTAATATCGAATATGCTTGTATTTTCAAGCACTTGAATCTACAGAGTTCAGCAAGGATGGCTTCACATTTGTGTGAAACAAGCACATAAGAACTGCCGATAAATTTTATCGAGCTAAAGCTTTAAGTGTGGACAGCTGGCAATCACAGTTGTCTACAAATCTCAGTGAGAGGAGTCGCTTAAGCGAAAATCTCAAGCGTGCGTGCTTTGAAAGGGACTCGGTTCATAAATTTTATTAACAAATTGAAAACTAATTGAACGCAAATGGTTTTATTTAGGTCTCGCACTTCATAAATTAGAGTTGTTGCATCATTTTAGATGCCTAAATCGAAAAGCGCAAAACTAGCATTTTAGAGCTATACGAGAACTTTAGAATACAAAGTAACACCTCTATATTATATTACCATATATTATTTCCACTGTCATGCAGTGTATGTATTTAAAGTTGCTAGAAAATTAATATCGACTCCCTAATCTGCTTCCTAATTTCGCGTTTATATACAAAACTTAAAATAATCAAAATGGAAAAGATTACAACTTTTTCATTTAAATAATTTCGACAGCGCACGTCCAACAGATAAAAAAAAAATCAGAAACTTCAATTACATTAATTGAACCGTACCTACTGCTGCACACAGGGCACTTACCTACCGAAACAGTGGTTATATTTGTACGAACTCGACGCGAACTATGCTCCGTTATTTGTATATTCTATGCATTCATGTGTACATATGTATCCGTCCATATATGCGTAGGTATGTATGTATTGAATATATCTGCGTTTTATCTAAAATAACCTCTGGCTTGTTGCATGGAAGACCGACGGTTGCGCGGCAGTGAAGTGTCACTTCACCGGCGCCATTTCAATTCGGTTCACTCATATTCGGAATTTTCTATTACCACAAAAAGTTTGTTGGTTGTGTAGTTGGTAAGCGCACCAAATTCAACTCGCCACAATCTTTCACAGTTATCTGTTGTCTGGTCGCGTGTGGGTTCGTACTATTTTGAGTGCTTGTTAATTTGCAAAAAAGAAAAAAAGGGGTTTCCATGCATCACAAATTTGACCACATAAATAGAAAAATTTGATTTAAATTTTTAATATAATAACTTAATTTAAAAATATTAATAATATTTTATATAATATTATTGTTTTGTTCTTTTTTGTTTTTAGAATAATTAATTTTATGTTTCTAACCTAGTTTTAAGCGTAAATAGTAATTACAACCGTGATTCAGATTCGTTCGCACCCGTCTCCACACACCTACGCTCATTTTTGAGAATTTTACGAGTTTGATTCGCTCTTTGCTCTTAAATTTGTTCTTCACATAGCAGCAGCAGTCCTTTTATTTATCTGTTTCTGAGCCTACCATCATGTCAAGAAACCTCAGATCCAGAAACTCATAATCCTTGATTCGAGCGTTGAACCTGTGTGTGCTCGCATGGCAGTCAGTCGCACTAACCATTGTACTACGGATACCCCAAAACAACTAAGCGCTAAATGAGTATGTGTTTTATGTGGATAAATAACAGTTATCCTATGGGTTTGAGTACGCCTTTAGTCATACAAGTGTATCATATACATACGAGTATGCGTGGTTAAGTAATGAAGGTTAATGCATAATTTAAAGAGCACACCTAGTTTGAAATTTGAAAAAAGAAATCTATTTTCATATTTCGAAAGGTTATGCATTTAAAAATAACTTACTAAAATTTTACATCGATATCCTAAATATCTTTTGACTTACAGCTTTCTAAAGTGTAGCCGCTAAGTTCAATCAGCTCCGTCAGTTTATCTTTGGACGCGTTTTTCTCGAAACAATATTTTTTTGAAGTGTTGCTTGAGTGATTATTCGATGACAATTCATCGGACCACTATACAATTTTTGCATGTCCTCTTTCTAGTTTTGCTTACAATGATCTACCAAAAATCGAATTTTGGCAGGCCAAAAACGACGAAAAATTTAGAAAATTCAACTCTGATTTTTTTGGATCGATTTTACAGACCTTATCTTCTAGTAGAGAATATTTTTTAGGTTATATTTCCAGTGAAGACCGAATTCACTGCAGCAGTTGAAAACCTTTGTTTTAGCGTTGTCGAAAATCGCGTCTAACTCGAAATATATTTAATTTTTTTCTTCAAAGATTCAAGTTTTTTTATTTTCATTCCCAAAAATCGCCTTTTAAGGATGTCTCAAGAGTACGACTTAAGGGTTTGATTCTTAAATAGCAATATTCAATTCTTGCGCAGTTGTGAACAATAAGCTCCAATACTACTTAGCATGAAAAATTTAAATGCTCCATAATATTAGTTTAACACTATAAATGTATATTTCTAAAATATATTTTTGGTTTTTTGTACTTTGATCAACAAAGTTATTAGTTTCAGACTTCTATCACATACATTTTTACAGATTTGTTGTAATTAATTCCTTTTTCCATTTCTCTATTTGTTCATCAATTGTTGTTTCCACTACTTTTCCGCTAGCTTTGGCCATTTTCCAAAAGTATACTGTCACATCGGTTAAGAATTTCTTAGTCGTCTCTTCCAGACCAGCATCGTTAAGTATTTCCAGATAACGGATATTTGAAACACCAGTATCCTTTTCATTATTGAGAAGAAAAGCACTTTCGCTGAACTAAAAATTTAAAAAAATTTAGATATATTGTTTCAGAGAACATTTATAAATTGAAAATTCATTCCGCTTACCTTAACAAAAGTGTCACGCCACATATTGTCCTTCTCCTGCACAGAGTCCGCCAATATAGCTTTCTGCAAGCGCTCAATATACTTGTTTATATCCGCTACGCGCTTCACTGTGGCCGGTAGAAACTCCCTTACCTTGCTGAAATAATCAATTTGCGAGCGGAATAAAGTGTTCAGAAAGATTATGGTCTCATTTAAGGCCTCGCGTTCGAATTGTGCACGTGCGGCGTTGCTAATGAAGTTATTCTCAGCTAAGTTCTCAACTGGACTTTCTGTTACTACGGTTTCATCGCTCTCGACGCTACGCGGCTCGCGTGTTGTTTGGGCGCAAAAGTAGTGCTGCGTCACGGGTATCATAAATATATATATTTTATTTTGATAAACTACTCCTAAGTTATATTGAGTCTTACCTCCGCACTTAGCAGGCAAATAAAGGTGATTACAATTAGTTTCTGCGTCATTTCTTGTCTCTTCATGCACTTTCACAATAGTTTGGGCGTGGTCTCGGTTTCACACAGTTAATACAGTAGTGCCTGCGACACCTTATGCTATAAAACTGCTACTGAAGATTTATTTTTATGTAAGTAAATATTTTGTCTAAGACAGTTGAAATATGAAACGTATTTATTGCGCTGGCGTCTTATCAGTTAACTTTTGCCACAGTGTGGCGCTGTTGTTGACTGATCGCCACAACTGAGAAGAATCATTTCACTTCGTCTTCTTGCTGATAACACAGATATTTTTAAATACGAAGCAAATTAAAACAACTTTATTAAATACACAATAAAGTACATATTATAACTAAAATTACGAAAAAAAATAAATCTAAATTAAGTAAATGGTGATAGCGTTTAGTGAAACACACATACACATACATAAATTTGTTTATTTAGACTAAATGAGACTGCAAGCTGAATGGAAATGCTGGCATGCCGAAGTAATTTTAGTATTTTTTGTAAATCACAACCAGTTTTGTGCGCCTCAACAGTGGCTTAAGTAGCGCTATTAGCTTGCTTATCGCCATTATCACCTTCCTTGTCACGCTTTACGAGAGCCGGCGCTGCTTCCATGAATTACACGAACAAATTTCTGTATTCCATCGATTTGCCGCACATCAGTGTTTGCGCTCATGTAAAGCGGAGTAACTGTCATTGAACCCTTTTCAATATGAAACAGCTGTGAAATGTGCTTTACAACTGTGCTTGTTTATTGCTTTGATTGCTATTCTTATTTGCTCTGCCATTCTCTCTCTTACGAACTTGTTCGCCCTTCTTTTCACACCCCCAACACACGTCAATACATATTCCTTTGTGCGCCGTTGCTCCCCTATCACTCACTTATTCTATCGCTTATCAGCGTAAGCGGCCCATAAACCCCCTTCGATGAAAATGTATGTGAGAATCCGCACACATGTTCGACATTTTCAATTCAAAGTGAAATCGTACAACGGAAAAAAGTATAGAGCAGTCTGGTAAAAGCGCTTCAATATTGTCAAGTGCAAAAAATCCGTAATAAAAGTAAATGAAATGGGTGAAATTTAGCTATGAAGTGTATTCTGAGCGATTCTTTCTGTTATTATTTCATTTCTATTGTATTTTGAAGAGAGAGCTGCAATTTCCGAAACATTTACAATAATATGAAGCACACGTCTTTGATAATTTCTAACACGTGTTTCGGACGATTTTAATTTGCTCTTTAACAGAAAAAATATGTGGCAATATTTATAAACACCGTATATACAAAGGGGGCGTAGAGGGCTTTCATATTTAGCTTAACAAAATTTTATAGAAAAAAAAGGATCGGTTGTAACTATAGATAAAAGGTCGAAGTGAACTTGTTACTTGTTTAACTACACTGCCTGTGTGTTTCTAGTATAATCATATTGGACTTATTTGTGTTTTTTTACCGTACATTTAGATTAGATTTGAGGTGATAATAAAAAAAATTGGCTTATACTAGCTTTAACCAGACTAGTTTTACTGGACTAATTTTCACAAAATCTGATCAATAATTTGATTCGGCTTAACTTTAAATTCAATCATTTATCAGTGAAATGCGCAACGGTCTTCCGAAAACCCATATTATTCGCATATTTTCGCAGCGCCCGCATGTATGCTATGGCAACTGCCCACGGCCAACATGTCGCGCTAAATCAATTTCAATTCAATCCGCTTATGCGTTTATTTTTGCGCAAATAATTAAAACTGTAGCAGGCTCTGAGCACTCAAGGGCAAAAAAATATGTTTACAAACAGGCATAAGTAAATCCTATTGAATTGAATGCGTGTTTTAATTATGCATGGGCGGCGATGGCGCCTGTGCTTATGCAATAAAAATGGATTTCAAGCGAAAAATTACAGTGCACATAAGCCGTCAAAGGTGCCAAGGGTGAGAGGTGAAACGGTGCCATGGCATAAATGGACGCCGGCCGAGTGTAGGCGACGGCTAGTGGTGGACACTGAATGGCAGACGACATTTTTTTGACGTAGAGCTGTGTCGCAAACGATTAAAGCGTATTTGTGTGCGCTCAGCTGTTTCCGAAAACAATTTTCGGCGAGCATAACGACTGATCGAGGTCGGGTATGTAAATCAAATCCTTCAATGCTGCGGTATGTCGGGCAACTGCTCAAATACATGTTGTACACATTTTGTGAAATTATCGTTTGCTGTAAACAAGTAGAGATGATGAGATATTTGGATTTTTCCATTTTGTTTGGCCAGTGCTTGGTATGGGCAAACGCATTAAAATGTTTGCGCTTGATGCGTATGCTAAATAAAAATGTAAATACACGTGACTACTTTTTGTATTTACCAAGCAACGACGACCCGTCTAGAGTATATATAATACTTTGCAATTTCACCTTAAAAGTTTGCTTTCACTATAATTTTTACTTATTTATGGACAGTATGATGGCTTTTGTAATTTGTATGCTAATTGCATCATATTTTATGTTTATGATTTGAGATATGTTTTGTGTTGTGCATTGTCCGTTCTTATCAACTGGTTATTGGATTATCATCAAGCCACTTTCACGCTTTCCGGTGATGTCACACATTGCGTTTCACGAGTACCAATTGTGTCACAAATTTTTTAGTCAATGCCAAACCTGATAGGCCTGTACATGTTTGGCAATACAATATGCCGTTAACCCTCTTGCCTCATTGATCAGGCCGCTTTCTGTGTGGTCCTAATGGTGTGATGCCTTGCTTGGCTGATAGTCTGATGACCTTAGCGATAGCTTTTAGCTTCTGTGTTTTTTCATAATGCTTGGCATATCTAGCCCTCGCCTGTCTATTTTTTATATTTGAAAGTTATTTTCAATTTTAAGCTCGTAATTGCAGCGACTCATTTCATTCATTGGTTGTGAGTTTATATTATACTTGTATGTACATGTAAAGGGTGTTGTTTAAGAGGGGGAGATTTTTGAATGATTTAATGATTTTAAACGATTTCTAAACCTTGCTCCATTGTCAGCCATCCGTTATATAACAATGTTAATGTATATATTTTTACAGCACTTATTAGGTCTAGTAAAAAGAAATTCATTATTTTTGAAATAGCTTTGTTTAGAAATCTGTACCTCGCGTTGTATAAATGCGCTCGTTAAGTATTATAAGATTAGAAAGATTCGATTTAGTTTTAAAACAAACTCTTACGAAGTTTTGTGATTGCTTGACTCAGTATTGTTTCCGCACGCGTCAAAGTTGCACACCAGCAAAGAAACAATTTTCCATATTTTACAGTTATTCTTCGATAAAAGCGAAAAGGCGAGGCAGATGGTTAAAAATGTCAATAGTGTTTATGGTTCTGATATAAGAGTCAAGCAGGAGCAAATTTGGTTACGTCGATTTCGTCGTTCCGATAAATTTGATGTCAAAAATGCACCACACTCTGGAATAGCAATGGGCTAAAATATCGATAAAATAATGGAAATCGTCGAGTCCGACCGCCATGTAAGCACAGTTTCGAATACTCAGGAGTAAAAGATGGATATAAAGAATATATATATTAGCAAAATCGGAACTATCTGAAGCGCAGAGTCACTGGTGATAAAAAGTGGGTCACTTACGAAACCGGTGGAAACGGTGGCTAAGCCAGGATTAACGAGAAGGGTTTGCTGTATGTTTGGTGCGATTAGCAGGAAATCATCTACTACCTCTACGGCCAAACTCTTAATTCAGACCTCTACTGTCAACAATTCGTTCGTCTAAAGTAAGCAATCGCCCAGAAGTTGCCAACTTTGACCAATAGGACAGGAATTGTATTCCATCAGGACAACACCAGGCCACACACAACGACATGGACCCGCCAGAAGCTCCAGGAGCTTTGTTAAGATAATCTTATGCACCCACCTTATAGTTTAAAATCACCTCAAGAGAAGCTTGTAAGAATTGCATAATGGATTACTTTTTAGTAGACCTTATATTTTACGAAATGCTATAGCTTAAAAAAACACCTATTATTTTTACGTGCTATTAATATATTATAACTTTTATTTTACAACTGCAATATTTCTTAAAAAAATGTGTTTAATTCATTAGAAACTAACCTCAACACTTCTCTTTTCATTTCAGGTATGTTCTCTCTCTTTCGTTCTCACTGCAACCAAGGTAACATATGCAGGTAATGTGTTGTCATCAATTAAATCTAACCGCGTTGACCACAAATTAATTGTTGCCTATTTTTAGGCGGTCTACCGCTAAATGGAACATTAGCACGAAACTAAATAAATACGAGGCAAACGCTTTGTTGTTTTTCAATTTCGAAACACAACAGCAAATAATCGCAAAATTTCCATAAAGTAATATTTTACAAATTCTGGCAAACAAAAGCACATAAATACAAATGTACAAACAGAGTAATCTATCTATTTATGGCAGCGAAATTGCAAACAATACCACTGCGAACCCTCAAACGCCAATATTATAGCAATTTACAATTGTTTTACGCAGTCATTGTTTTCATTTGACCGCGACACTTGCATTGCTGTATTAGTTGCAATAAGTCCATAGTAACGGTACCCTCCTGCCGCAGAATATTTTCCGCTTCAACAACAAGAAGAACGCCCTTTCAGTGCGATATATGCAAACTGCTGTTTGTTCGCGCCAATTTCAGCTTGTGTCTCCTGCGCCCGGACAAACACGAACGATCCGTGTTTATTTTTTGCAACATCATCCTGCTGCATGATGCCCGTGCTAACAGAGATAACCTCTTTGCCGACTGTAGCACATCCTTTGTTGATTTAAGCTACAATTGCAATTGGCGCTGCAGTTCGAGTTGTACAGCCAGCTTGAGCACGCTGCTATCTGCTCTGTTCCTTTATATATACGAGTGTATGGCTATGTGGATCCGAACACTGGTATATTTTGCCTCTGCTTATTATTTGGCAAATCTACATTTGCCATTCGCCACACCTAACAAGGCTAATATTGGCTTGGTGTGGCTCTCTGTAGAAGAGGGTCCCAATATGGCAAGTTTCACGTAGTGTGATTTGTTCGATTGCTTGTCTGGTTGTGTGTAGGTGGTGGGATTAAATACTCTGCAGGGCAGAAACACTGTTTTCAATTTGCTTTCGTCACCATTTCTAGTTAAACAAAATGTTTTATCCAATGCACTGAAAAAAATAGAAGCTGAAAATCTACTTGTATTCAACATTCACGACCTGAACCTATATATCTGGCATATTCAATAAGAATAGCTAAGAAATCACGTAAATCTAAGTCTTGCGATTTGAATTTTAGAATCCTCCTGGGAATCGCAAGTTTAAAGTGCCAATGTATTTCACGCGCGATTATCGACTTACACTGAAAACTTTTTAGAGCTGTCATAAACTGCAGATAGCCACGATCTGATTTAAGAGGTGTTATTATAGTTAAATCGTTCGAATAATTTACCGACTCAAGTGTGAATAGAAATTATAAAAATATTGAGAAGTAGTTGGAGGAATGTATCAGTCCAAATAAATCTTCAAAGATATAGCTTCTACCACATCACAACATCTCTTTCTTTCGCTAGCTTATTGAAGATTTTCCAGCCATCTCAATCTCTTCGACCACTGCACGTACTAGTCAACCCACATCTGATTGTTCTCAGTGTCCAGTAGATTCGCTACGCTTGTCGTGCACATTTTGTCGCAATTTGTTTTACATTTCGTACACCATTCAACGACCGGCCACTACTGGTGTAACGAAATGC